ACTTATCATGGTTGCCATGGATAGAAAAAAACATCTTTGATCCGTCAAAAATACCTCCAATCCTTCACCCGAACCAGGCTGAGGGGGTCAAATGTGAAGGTTACGGGTTTTGAGTACCAGGAATTCTCCTGTTGCTAAGCAACTGCACACAGACAGACAGGCACTGAATAATTTATGTACAGGCCAACCCAACCGTAATAAAGACATACCGCAACGTGCCATGATTCAGCAGAACGAAAAGGTTACTGAAGGTCACCAGACGTCTGCAAACTTACTTGATAATTTTTCTATTGCCCGAGGACTAGTTGCAAGTACAGGAGAAACATTTGGTAGAAGAACAAGCAATTAATACACAGAGAACTACTGTTAACTCTTAACACTACTGGGTTTGACTTCTTAATACAGGGAGGTCCAAGGCTGGCCTCTACCAGGCTTCGGGAGGCGGCTGGAAAGAGTAGAAATTGGCCAAACAGGGAGATAACGTGCTAGGGGAGTTGGTCTGCTGGAGAATGCAGTTGCCGCACTGTACTCTCTAGCGGACCAACTACCCTGGCAAAGTTATCTTTCTATTTGACAGAATTCTACTCTTTCCAGCCGCCTCCCGAAGCCTGGAAGAGGCTAGTCCCAGACTGCTTTGACGAACTGAGCCTAGCCTCGACACCTTTAAAGAACCCACCACACTCGTCAAAAAGAGTTGGGGTCCTTCCCTGTGTAAGTGGATCAAACCTTAGATAAAAATATTTAGAGTACCTTCTGGTTCGGCCATGAAATGTCAAATGTGTGAAGAAATTAATACTTAAACTTAAAAGCAATGGCGTCCTTGAGGTGACAGTTTCTTTCAGAATGTTGGATATGAATAGCATTCATGCACATAGCTGACATAACGTGAAATATACACACGAGTGCATTGCATGTACTATATAGAATGTAACTTTCCAAATAATTGACCATAATGGCTTTTGGTAAACCAGTCCCACGGGTTTTCGCCTTCTACGAAATTGTTTTCAAATAAAATATTCGGATTTTGTTTATTGTTTATACCATAAGAATTAAAAGATGTCGGTAAGATTCTGCTAAAGTGTGTTTTCTATAGATTGTCACCTAGCTTTGCTGACACTTCCCATTGCCAGATACTGTATCTTCGAACGAGTTCATAACATACTTTACAAACCGCCCATCTGCGTGCATCATGTGGAACATTTAAGGGGGCCAGCATGCACTTTTCCGTAGAGCGTAATCGACCGTTTTAATTCTACGTAGAGCGTAGACGGACCGCTCTAATTCAACGTAGAGCGTAATTGGCGCATTTTGCGTAGAGCGTATTCGCCGTTTGGTTTCTACGTAATGCGTTGTAGCCAATTGGAATTTAACGTAAAGCGTAATCGAGAGATTTCAATATTTAGCGCAGAGCGTTGTCAGGACCCCCCCCCCCCATGCAGGCCCCCATTTAAAGTGAATGACCTGTGAGATTGCGTGTCTTCAACCGTGCAACTGTCTCGCACAATTACCATCGTAAAAAATAAGGTGAACAACCTATGGGCCAAAAATGCAGTTTTGAGAAAAGTGATTTCATCTCAAGGGAACAATTAATGAGTTTCCTTTATGAGCAGAAGTCGATTTGTTGGCGGCACATTTACTTCAGAACCTTTGAAGAAAGGTTTGCTCGTCTTGAGCCTGCGCAGTAGACGCTTCTCTTCACGACTCAAAGATGTAATTAATACCTCTCAGACCACAGTTTCCCGTTCTCTGATTGGCTGATGCCTTCAGACAGACCTCGTTACGTAACGAACCATTTAAGACGTTACATTT